TATACCTCTAAATAAGAAATCAGCTTTTTTTTTTGGTTAAGATTTAGAGGTCGCTACCAGCTGTCAAAATATTTACAAAAAGCTTTGAAGATCTTAAATCATGGTTTCATAAATGTTTTATTTAAGTGTTTATATCACATTTTAGGTGCAAATGAACATCGCATAGATAGAATAGACAATCGCTTCTTGTCCCCTTCTCCCCTCAACCCCTCTTCTGTACCGACCATGGTACCGACGCGTCGAGATACTAACAAGTAAACTCTTATATCTTTAAAATAATTGATTCAGATATGTACATTGTACATAATATTTTAGTCCATAGCAACAACAATAATTTTATAATATTTTTGTTTGGCTTTGGCTTTAAAAATAAATGAATCTGACAAATACAGATTTTGTTTTTACTTAAAATTCAAACCTTGGTAGCGACCCCTAAATGTCTTTTAAAAATTAAAAAAATAATAATGAAAGACTTTCATATGGTATATATTCAAATTACGTGGTGCCCCGCAAAATATAAGAAAAAAAATTTTTTTCCTAGGAATAAGGACCACCCTAGTAGGTACCTATTTCAGCAAAAACAGTGACATAGGTAAACATATTTTAAGCCTACAATTCAACAATATCACAATCACTCAGTTTTGATCCTTTGCTCCTTACAGATATCCAGTCTCCCAGAGGATTTCGACACCAGTCATCTGACAGGTCTGGAAATGATTGACCTACGGCTGAATCCCATCTGTGAACTAGCCCACCCAGTAAGTATTTTGTTTATTTTACTCTTACCTTTAATTTGACTGAATACATAAATAAAGAAAACCATTAAGACGGTTTAACGATTTCGTACTATATCCGGCCTGAATCCGCCTAAATATGGATTTAGATTAGAAACTACTAGAGAAATCAGATGTAGTGTGTAAAATGACCATATAAATAGTTCTACCACGACCTACTTACTGTCACGGATTTCGATCGGATGCAGTGTTAGCTTAATAACTTTGTATTCTAGGGGAGAGTGCATTATTGTAGACCGTTCTCTGTCACGCACACGCTAAAAGAAGCCTGTCGTTCTGTCATGCACATGCTGAAAGAAGTCTACCTCACTCTGATACGCTATCATTCTCCAGGAGCACCCTCTAGTCCGCTACCAAGAGGAGCTGCCCGCTTCGCCGAGCGCGCTAGCGGAGCTCTCCGCTCAGGCCTCCGCTAGCAGCCGCCACGGTGCGCAGGCTTTGGCGCTTAACGCCACGGCGCTCCGCTTGCCGGCTGTCCCCGCGCCGCGTCCGCACCAACAGGACCCCAGGATCATAGGTAACTGTTCCAGGATTGCTGACTCGTCCAGGAACAACCTGTCATTAGAAAATCACAATCCAAAGAATAGTCTTTCCATCCATAAGGATGAGCCAATGCAAATCATGACCACGCCCCCCATGGTCCAAGATTGCAGGATCAGGTATGGGAGATATTCCAAGATTAACTGGATTAAAAGTATGCAGGATATTCCAGTATTGCTGCCCCATGCTTTTAGCAATAAGGGCTATCGTTTTTATACTTAACAGTTGGCACCCCTGGCGATTGACAGGATGACAGGACCTTACTCTACAGTGGCGCCATCTTGATGAGTGCAAATGCGATAGTCCTCCTACCACTTTCGCGCTCACCAGTTGGCGCCACTGTCTTCGCTACTAGCAAGTGACAGGACCTTACTCTGCAGTGGCGCTAACTGGTGAGCGCTAAAACGATAGCCCTCATTACCGACTACTACTAGAGAACATAGGATCAAAGATCATGGATGAGCCAATGGAAATGACTAAAGACCCCTCCCTTTAGTTTCTGCCGGGAGCCGTCAATCAAAGGTATGGAATATACCAGGATTACAGAATCATAAATCTATGGTATCTCAGGATTATCCTCCTTTCATCAAATCTATCGTAGCTTTGGCACAG